AGTAACGGTACCTTTTTGATATCAAGACCTTGAACTTCCAGAATGACTGATTCTTGCCTTTCCTCTAATGATGGTGTTTGAGGAGTTACGCTAGGAGAGTGGTCTAGTTAATAAGAAAATAAGAATCAAAACAGAGTAATAGTTAAAATACTAATCTTGAAGTAAAACTTCAACTTTTATGTTGGAACAATATAAGTCTTTTCCACAAGACCTCGACATACACATTTATCATGTGAACGAAAGGTTGTTATCCACGAAACCATCAAATGTTGTACAACCTTCTGTACTTGTTTCCCTCAGTATGAAAGTGCTGAATCTGTGCAATTTCATGGCATGCAGAGCAAGTAGTTTGCTTGTTGCCTTCCTGCTGTGGGACAGCTATTAACAGGAAGTCAACAAAAAATACATACAATTTTTAAAGGAGGTCGTATCAAACAATTAGTATAAAGGCTTCTAACAAAATTGGAAGTTGACAATACCTGACGAAACAGATGAAGACATGGACGGCTTAAAAGTTGATAAACCACTCGATAGGGAAGCCTTTGAAGCCGGCAGCTCTGAAGAAAATGAAGGCTTGATAGTGGATGAGTTGAATGTCGATTGACTTGAAGACAATGAAGGTTTGATATTGGGGAGACTAGCCGTCGATAGAGTTGAGGTAAAAGAAGGCTTGTCAGTGGAAAGCATTGGGTATACGCTCGAAGGCAGTGAAGGCGCAGGCGCAGATGAAGAGGGGAGAGCTGGAGTTGCTGTTTGTTCCTGACATTCTCCACTGGTAATTGAGACATCATCAATGGCTATGTGACTATAAATAGATCCTGCTATTCCTTCAAACGTCACCTAGATGAGTTACACAGGAATGAAAAGATATTTTCCCAGTCAGGATGGTAACAAATGTGGCGTTACCGAAGTTAAGGTGGACGAAGTAAAAAGAAACAGAGTTAACAAATGAAAAAAATAAATAAATAAATAAATAAAAAATAAATAAAAAAAAAAGCAACAGCAACATGAACAACAACAACAAAATTGCGACAAAAGTAACGGTAAAGGAGACTCTGAACGGTCAATGAGTTGTATCTGACTAGGAATCAAATAGGTCTCGAAAAGGTATTGAAGTAAAAAAGAACTCTCAGAGCGGCTAATCATCGTCATCATCATCATTTGAAGAAGAAGAAGAAGAAGAAGAAGAAGACGGACAACAACAGCAACAACGCAAAAGACATGAACAGCGACAAGGAAAAAGCTTAGCGATCAACACAATCAGAAGCAACACTCCATGCTGCTGACCGTTGCAACAACGATCCCTTAAGTAGACTTAAGTTCTATCTCGACATAATTATAGAAAAAAAAAAGTCGTGTAAGTTGCTCTGTAGCTATCCCAGCCGGAAATTTGTTGCAATGTGACGGCTGCGATTTTTTCGGCGAAAGCAGTGGTGTGTCTGTATGATCTTATAAAATAACATGCTCAACGCTTACACCATGTCTACTAAACTTACAGTATTATTCAAATAAATGGTTCTCTTCGCTTTAATCCAGTTGTCGCCATGGTTTCCTGACATGCTGAACACTTCTGTGTTACCGCTGAAGACTATAAAAGTTCCCATTAGGCTGTCGATGACTGCATACATGTGATAATAGAATTGGAGACAAGATGGTTCTCCATTTCCAGATACAGAGAGCTCAAGCTTAGCGTTGTCGCCGGCGGACTGCAGCAAGGTGTAGGTAAACATATAATATCCTGTGAACGTAAGTGGCATTAATCGCCCATCAGAAAATAGCACACAATCAACATATTACCACCTCTTTACTCATGATTTCGTTGTTTAGATGTTAACATTTACATAGAAAACAGAACAAAGAAGTTGAATGGCCACTTCCCTCTATGAGATGTGCTCGCAGGGAATCATGGTGGTTGTCTTCATCATCTTAGACTGGGTATTTGTTTTTATGAATACAGCTACCATGATTCCCTGGGGGCGCGACTCATGGAGAGAATTGGCCGTAAACAATCATAGAGGTAAGTGCAGGAAGTTTTGCTCACCTGATCCACTTGTATGATCGCCATTTGGACCTGTATAGAGAGATTCTGATCCTGTATGACGAGTCCAGTCAAAGACATCTAAACTTGACTGTCGCCAGCCATCACAAAGCCCGATGTCAAAGTCGCAAGATATTATAGCTAAATTGGAAATATGAAAACACCATCATGTCACTTTTTGTTATTAACAGCACTACGATAGAGTCGTTTTCAGTTGAGTGTCGTAAAACGAATGTCAAAGTTAGCTAGCACTCTGGCTAATCCCTATTATTAAATTCTCAACCTCGGATAATGCAATTCTAGCTTTCTTATTGGTTCACTGGATCTCGGTTACCAGCCATTATACCTGCGTTTGACCTTATATGGAAATGAATGCGGCAAATTTCGTTCAGCATAAAATTTTTCCCGGGAAGCCAAGTTTCGTCGACAGAAAAAAAAATGGATGAAAAAAGCAGATTTGGTGAGCTATCCACGGAAGAAATACAAGAAATCATGGACAAGGCTGTCCCAGAAACAACAAAAAAAGCC